ATACTGCACACCCTCCACGGATCGCTTTACGTGTATTCGGAATCCTTGCACCGATGGTCTCCACCGCCATAGGATCCACAACGTCTAGCAACCAGCGGGTTTTGGACAAGCGGAGGCAAGCCCCGCTCGTTTGCAAATAGCATTGAGCGCGGTGCCTCCAAAACGGACAAGATCACTCGCCAGAGCAGAAGTGAGAATCGTGCCGCCCCTGCGGAGGCCATCCTAAATCTGGCTGCTGTTCACCGAAGCTTACGATCAACGTCTTGCTTTTTCCCCGGCTTCCAAGCTGGGCTGCGCGCCCTGCCAAAACTCGCCACCCTACCCCTTTGCTCGGTTGCATCCAAGGTGCGACCCTCCATCCAGCGCGGATAGTACAGGTCATCTGGCCCCCAACCTGACGCGCTGCGCGCGCACCCGAAAAGCCTACCTCCAATGCCCGATGCCTGTGCGGAAAGCTGGGCCCCGTTCACCAGCACGGTGCGCATTAATTCCCTTTGATCCCTTTGCAAAGGCTCAACCGGTCTCACATCCTCTTCTGCCACGGCGAGATATTCACACATGCAGAGCGAATACCAGAGCCCAATCCACCTGAAAAGATATGATGCCAACTGTGGCATCACCAAAGACTCAGTATGAAGCCTCAACCAAATCGCCACACAAATAGAGCTGGTCTACTGTGTTTGCCGCATTGCGAGCAGAGAGCTCTTGTGACGTCGCGCACGCAGCTGTGCTTTTGCCTGTGACAAATATATCCTTGGCGTTCCCTCTACCCAAAATAGGGCTCCCTGTGCCTCAAAGCAAATGATTCAGAGCCACTACCCCTGGTGTCGCATAAGGCATAGGACCTCAAAGCTGGCTTCCCTCTTCCCTTCAACCACCGACCAAGAAAGGTTCACTGAAAAAAGCGGCCAACAAAGGGCACCAATTGAAAAACGCCGCAAAGGCTTCCCCTTTCCCTTCAAACACCGACCAATAAAGGGCACCAAACAAAAGCCGCAACTCCAACACAAACCACCCGCCCCGCTGGTTTTTGGCCTGGGATGAAGCCGCTGGGCAGCTTCTCCACCTGCGTTTGGGGCGATGTCCCCCGCGTTTTGGCCCCCGTGATTTCCGTGATCCCGTTGACCCTCCCTTTTCTACCCACCTTTTTCACCCAGGATCCTTTCACCCCCAGTGGTTTTTTTGGTGAAAAGCCAAAATTTTAGAGAGCAGGTCGCTGTGAGCGTGCGCTTTTTTCACTTTTTTCATTGAGCAGAACTGTCTTCGCATCTAGATCAAAGCCGAATTGTGGATGAAGGCAATGCATACTCTTGATTGAAGTATACAAGATCTGAAAATAATTAATCACACCCAATAACACAGTGACCTTCTTACTTACATTGCAAACAATATCAAGTCCTTCATCTCTCGCAAAAGAATGCGCTATGCATTTGCAACTCATTGCAGACTCACTTCATAGCAGGTTTCTTCTTGAGGCCCTTCGTCTTCTTGGAGCAATGATATGGCTTCACAAGCTTGGAGCTAGGCTTGCGGGTGGGGTGCAAGTAATCGGTCTTGTCTTGGTCGCTGGCATTGTTGTGACGCTTGGCCATGGTCAAGAGAAAATACTTGTGACGATTGGGACGCATTTCGTTCAACAGGCCTGCGAAGTTCTGGAACCAGGAAAACACTTGTTCACAAATGTTGGTATTCACCCTGTTGATGCGCGCTCCAAGCTTGCGGCGGCGACCTTAGATTGGAAGCGCATATTATAGTTTCACACACAACACAAAACATATAAATACTGCGCATAAGTGTACGAGGGCCAACGTGTACATGTGCGGGTAGTTCCCGCAGAGTGAGATGCTCTGTAGCATCTATGGCGTTGGTCAACGACATACTATCCCCCTCCACTGCCATCAGATGCAATGAGAGTCAAGACAGAGTATCTATCACACAGGCTTGATGTCAGATACTGTGGCAGATGGCTCAATGATGTCTACAGCAAATGTTTTGGAATATTTATCAAAACCATCGAGAAAAAAAAAAGACTATGCTCCCCCTCCCCAAGCTAGGACATGTGACATAGTCTTGGATTTGTTGGTGTTTTTGTTGTTGTTTGGTTTTTGTGTTTTTTGTTCTTTGGTTTTCTCTAGGTTTTTGATGTTTCTGGGAAAAGTGTGAAAAACCTCTAGAAAAAAAAAAAAAGAAAAAAAAAACAAGACCATGCTCCCCCTCCCCAGGCTAGGACATGTGACATAGTCTTGCTTTTTTGTTTTTTGTGTATTTTTGGGTTGTGTTTTTTGTTTTCTCGAGGTTTTATTGATGTTTTTGGGAAAAGTATGAAAAACAGTGTGTTATTTTGTTTTAACAAAAACCATGGAAAAGCGCACGCTCAGGGCGTTCTGTTCTGAAATTTTATTCTATCTATGCTTCATGCCAGAAAGGCAAAAAACAAAAATCAACAACAATCCCTTTGACCCCTTTCTACTGCTTGACCAAGGAGATCCTTCCACCCCCACGTCTCGCAGTCCCCCACCTCTGTGCCGTTGAACCGCAACTGCAGAACCGTCGGCCCCGGCGCCGCGGGCGCCGCGGGCGCCGCGGGCGCCGGAAGCGCTGCGTCCGGCTCCGGCGTGTCCGACCCATCGGCCACGGCGACGCCAGGCCTCGCCGTGGCAGATCTGGGTGGATTCGTTCGCGATGATACCCGCCCAAACGATTCCATGAATAGGACCCCGAAATGGAAGACTTGGGTCCCTGTTAGTCTGAGGGAGCGTACGCATGTGTCTCGAAACAGTCTGCCAAAGAATGCACGGGGCAATGCAAACAGAGAGAGGGGGAGACGCGAGAACCGAGAAGAACTTGAGAAGGCCTCGATCAGATTCGGCAAAACCTGGGGGGGTTGGGATTCAAGACAACACATGATGTGGAAACGGATCCCTGCAGAAAACACACGTAGTTCGACTTGCGCCCAAACATGTTACCCGACCAACAAACATGGAAGAACAAAAACCGCTCTTGGAAACGGATTTCTGCTGGGGAGAAGAGGAGCCAGTGCCCATCCATGTCATTGTGGGAGGGTAGAGGAAACCCAACAAAAACGCCGCTGAGGTGCCACAGGAGTGGCAGTGCCAGCATGCCCCGCCGGACCTCGGCGAAAAGCGAGTTGCAGCACGAAACTGACACAAAGCTTCAAGCTGTCATCAACTAAAGATGGTTTCCACTACCCCCAAACCACCCTTCAGGTAGGGGTTTGGGGGTAGTGGAAACCATCTCATCAACTTGATGATATCAAAATCAGACTTGATAATCTGCTTCATAGACTGCATTGTGATGTTTTTTTTCAGTATCTATGTTACAATCAATCATATCTTCGCGACCGATGCCATCTGGGTGTTTCTCAAAATCGGGGGCCCAATTTTTAGATGGGTTTTCCAAAAGGATACCCACCACCTAGATGCCTCCCCGAAATTGGAGAAGCATGCGACTGCAGGACCGCATGCCCCCGTGGCAAGCTTCGTCAGCACCCTATGGGTTTGTTCTTGAGGCCGCCACCGGCAGCCAGGCCGGCACATACCTCTGCGAGAAAACATATGTTGGATCTCTAGGAACTCTGGCAAGTGGCTGACCTATATCTATATATATATATACATACTATACACATGTTTAAAGATATGTGCTGTCTCATATGTTTTTCTAATTAACATTTGCATATGGTTGAAAACGGAAAACACAAAAACAGTGTGTGGATGACCATCCCCAAAAACGAGTCCTTAGCGCTTTGACAATGGCAAACATGGCTTTTTAAACCAACCGCAAGCAGGCTCTCCAAAAAAGACACCCACAAGTGCCACGGTCAAAGAAATCCTATAGATATCAATAGATTTATGTATGTATACATATGCCCCCCCCCCCCAAATGCTTTTCTGATCTGTGAGGGCATAAAAAGAATCTGGGGTGGGACCCCAAAACAAACAACATGTCATGATCGTAGTTCCCCATTCCCCTTCCAGGAATCCTCAGCATGGTTGTCCACATTCGGAATTCAGGCAATGACCATCCCCCCCCCCTCCCGCTCCCTTGAGACCAGCCTCTGCAAGCCCCAAAGCGCTAGGAAAAGGACGCATAGCCTGGCGTGGCCATGAACCCGTTCAAAGGGAAACACCAATGAGGATGTTCAATCAATGACTGGAACACGTTTCTGGTTGAAAATGTTTAAGGCATAAGTGTCCTTTTCGGGGAATAGATGGCCCTGGTAGATGATCAAACCCCCAGGTAAACCAGGGTCATCTATTTTTCTAGCAAAACAACCAAAAAGGACCCCTATGGTTTAAGCTGAACGAATCGCCAACCTCAAATAACACACATACTCCCCAGGAACATGAAAGAACTCCTTAGACAAACAAGCTTCGTCAACTTCGGTTGCCAATGCCCGTCTTGCCTGAGGTCGCCAATAAGTTGCCCAGACACCATGCACAGCCCCTGGCCTGAATCTTCCATGTCTGCGAGGGAGCATCACTCGAACCCCTGCAGAGTGGTTGGCAGGCTGGGTGGGCTGATGGTCTTCGGGTCCACTTTGGCTAGCGGTTTCATGTCTTCTGGATGGGGTTAGGTATCTCTGTCTCATGGCCACTTGAGCAAATCAGGGCTCGGCGGGTGCAGGTATCCCCGATTCCTGTCAGGCGGATCCAAGGATAAGGAAGGAAACGACAAACATCGAGTGCCATCATGATTGCAGGCCCTGTTGGCCGCTGCCAGTCATCATCCATCCTTGCCTTGACTACGATGAAGCCCCGAGAAACTCTCATCGAGAGCCTTCGTTGTGGAGTCAAAAGGGGCACTGGCAGATGCCCATGTTACCAATGTTCATCCTTGACCCGAGGGCAAGGGTGCGTCTTGCTTTGAGAGTCTTGTCGTGCGAAAAACCAAGACACCGCACGTTGGCAGGAGCCAGACAAGTACCAACCGCTACCAACCCGGATTCCAACCCATGGGCCACTCCCAACGGCACTCGACTCCTGGCCAATGTGCTGGCGCACTGCAGGCAGAAGAGGTGCGCACACGCTGCCAGGATGGCGCCTTACGTAAGAACCCTTGGCATCACAGGACGTGGCTCTATGAAGGCCAAGGAATTTCCCAGCACCAACTTGTTTTTTTCCCGTAAAACTTGAGGCCGATTTCCCAAAAGGTGTGTGTGTGTGCTTGACCATAAACAAAAAAGAAAAAAGGCCATCTTCCCAACAGGTTGCGGTTTTGGGGCTGATTTTCCAGGCCCAAAGGCCTCCTCACCACCCGCCCACCCCCCACCACCCCGCCACCCCGCCACCCCACCACCCCCACCCCGGGCAAGCTCCGCGTCCAAGGGGCGCTCCGTGGGCTCCGGCTCGTTGAGGCAGATGGGGCACCGGAAGCTCTGGTTCTCCGCCGCGTCCAGCATGGCGCTCAGGAAGGCCACCTCGCAGCTCCTCGTAAGAGATGTCCGAAACCCCCCGATCCGAAAATGGGCGTGGCTCAAAATTAAACAGGAGGAGTTACGCAGGTTTTGGTCCATGTTTCCACTTACTAGGGTTTCATTTTGGTCTCGGTTTTTTGAGCCACAGCCAAATCCGAAAATCCGACATCGAAGCAGCAATGGATCGGAAAAAAAAAAAAAAAAAAAAAACTTGCGGCCGGTCTCTGACCGGTGGCGGCTACCCCCGTCCTTTGCCTGAAGGCCTCCTTGGCCTGCTTCAGGTCCTCCAGCAGCTCCAAGCCATCGCCGAAGACTTCGGCGCCCTGAGAGGCACCCTGCGAAGGCGAACCCAGGCCCTCCGGTCGAGAGGTTGGAATAAGTGGGTACCAACCTTTTTTGCGGTTTCGTCTATTTTAGTAGGGGAACCCTCCCCAAAAAAAGGAGTGAGAAAGGGCACTACTGGGGGACCTAGTCACTATGTTTTCAGCGACTCGGAAAAGAACGGCCCGGAGCCGTTGGTCCAATACACGAGGTGTGCATACAGCCACCATAACGAGCGTGCCGATCTAGCCATTCTGCTTCAAACGAGTGGCTGGCCCCGATTCCCGAAAAATCCCATGCAAGCCTGCGTTCCCTTCCGCAACCAAACGATGTTCACAGAAGTTGCGTGAAATTTGAAAGGCGGATCAGATCACTCCCCTTCCGTTCGCAAAGATGGGTGCCGCGGCAGCGAAGAGTGATACTTCGGTGGGTTGTCTTAGTGCAAGTAACAGCAACAAAATACAACGAAAACACCAGCTGCACGAGATTCTGCAGGAAATTCTCGTTTTGTTGGGTGCTCGGCCAATTTCCTGCTAAGATTCTTGTAGCCGGTTTCCATGAACAAAGCTGCGCGGAAAAAAATGGTTTCTGTCAGTTTCTGTGACACCACTGTGGACCATCCAATGGCGACATGGTTTGCTCCAAAGGTTTTGCTTCAGGCGCCAAAGCCTCGCCTCCAAATGGGGAAGAGGGCAATCCCCCCCCCCCCTCCTCCGAAAGTAAAGAATCTGGGCCCCTCCATCTTCCCAAAGCCGGGAACAAGCACACACATGCTGCTTACATGGTGCGAAAAAGCAAGAAACTCACCTCGGGCCTTGCGCCGGAAATGTGTTGAGTTTCACACCTTGTAGTTGGTGTTTGAAGGGAGGCCAAAGGGGGACCAACCATTTTATGGGGTTGAGAAACACATCCAAAGACAAATTGTGAGGACAGGCAGGCACTTTTCGTGAACGCCTGTTTCATGCTTTGACTTTGGGTGTAAACTTGTGTTGGGGATCCTTGGCTGCACATCATTTACATGGAGATGCAACCCACCACCCATTCCAGCCAATAAATGCCATAGCCACTTTGGGTTTGTCTCAAGATGGGGGTGGGGACGCACAGACTGGGCAGGTTCCCTCCAAACTACCCCCACAAAATGGGAAAACGACCCCCGCACCGCGCCTGAGACTCCTCCGAGGCCTCTTCAACCCGCATGGCCTCCAGGATCAGGGCGTCCGCCTGGCGGATTGAACTTGGCCGCTAGGGGGTGACCTGTCAAAAACAGATGGCCCTCTTTACGCAGGGAAAGCGGTCACTTGCACGATTGGAGGGAGGGTGCTCCCTCTGGTGTTTGTGTAGTCACAGGCAAAGACACGCCCTTTATGGGTGGCCATGTGAAGTCACAAAACCCATGCTTGGTTCTGCCAGCACGGCTTCTTCAAGTTGGTAAAGCCCTTACCCCCATGAATCAGGTGGTAGAACCACCTTTTTTTGTGGGCCATGCCACCTACTAAACTCCCTCTTCCCACTTCCGAGCCTCCAAATACCACTCAAGCATTTGTCAGACTTTGGGCGCAAAAAATGGGTGGGACCTACCCCAAAACAATGGTTTCCCATCAAAAAAACGGGTGCCCACTCCCCACCAACAGCAAGGGCACCCCCAAAACATATAGGTGTCCTTTTGGAAAAATAGATTGGTTCCCCTGGTTTCTTGGAATCAAACCCATCTAAACCAGCGGAACCCATCAATTTTTAACCAAACTCGCCTAAAAACGGACACCTATCTCTATCTGGGTGAATTATAATGTTCACCCACCTCAAACTTGCGGTGGCGCGGCTATTCCCCACATAAACCACCGGTTTGGGGTGAATTCGGTCGTGTGAGGTCCTTATAATTCACCCAGAGTCCTATGTGGCAGTGGCTCAAAAAACCGGCACCGAAAAATGGTTTGCCCTGGTAAGTGGAAACATGGACCAAAACCTGCGGTTTGCCCCTCCGATCGTTTAATCTTGAGCCACGCCCATGCCCCAAAACCGACGTCCAGCAACCGACTGGGCGGGGGCCTCCCGCTCGTGGCGGCCGGCGTTCTGCCGCGCCCCGGCCGCCCGGGCGCCGGCCAGCTGCGCGTGCTCGGCGTGAGGAGCTGTCCCCACCTCCGCCAGCAGCTGGGCGTATTGCTCCGCCAGCACCTGAGTTGGGAGCGGTTCCCAGCATAGTTGTTCACTTCAATACATACATATATATATATATATATATTATATATATATACATACGTATAAGCTCACATGTTCACTTCTTTTTTTTAACCATATAAGCTCAGAATCAACTTTTCCTGAGTTGGGGTGGAGTGCGATAAGTAGGGAATAAGAAATGGAACGAGCCCAGGCCTTGGTTCCCCGAAAGGAAACCATACAGGGGATGGTTTATAGGGGTTCCCTCATTCCCTGCTGAGCACCAGCAACTTGGGCTGGAGGTGCGAGTGGAACGGGAGTGGGGTTGGAGTGAGAACCACCATTTTGGGACCATGGCCATAGCAGCGGCAAGCCACAAAGCAACCAGGACCAAGGAAATGCCCGCCCCCTCAAAGGATAAATGTTGCTATTCTGAGAAACATAGAACATTGTGGGAGGATGGTGATCTTCATACAGTTGTTCCTGTGATACAGCCATTTGCCAATGGTAACAGGCCGACGCATGGACCAATGGAAACAGGCCAATAAAAAGGATAATACTGCCTGAGCTAAGCTTGAAGAAACGGGGAACAGCTTTTCACCGAAAATATTGAACCATCTTAGCATGTGGTTTGCTTTGGCTTCCATTGAAACACCATATTTCCAAATTTAGTTGACGAGCACCGCCCAGACCCACTGACTTTGGTTCTAGCACGGCTTTCCGATAACCCCTTTGTGACTAGTAGGATTCACCTACGAAAATGGCAAACGTTTTTTTTTTTTTTTTTTCCGGGGTGCTCACTTGAGTTGATGCTCGATCAGCAACGGTGAAAAGCCAGACCTGCCCTCAGTTCGCCCAACCCTGGAAGACCATTTGACCCTCCTGTTAAACCGATCTCCCGTCTCCCCAAATGGTTGTGGAGAAGAACCTATCCCAGTGACTACTCGTTTGGGTTTGTACAAACAAGCACATTGGGCTTTTATAACGACCCTTTGAAGGGGAGTCCCTTGTCGGCTCACAGGAAGGGACTTGAGGCACCAATACAACCAAAGCAAGCGCCTTCGCTTTACATCTCTGGCGTCTGAAAAAGAACGCCGCGACTTCGAGCGTCACGGAAAGCGGCAGCCAAAAACCCAGCGGGTGATCCAGAATCCGATGCCTGCCTTTCCGTGATTACTGGCAGGGATTTTGGTTGGAATGGGCTTTATAGAGGTGTGGGTGCCCCGTTGTTTGTGGTTTCAAAAGGAAAACAAAAGGAACACCACCTTTTTGGGATCCCCCTCAAAAAAAAAAGGCACGCCAGTCTTGACTCCAAAGTCGAAACCCCATCTCGCCTCGCTCTCTGCCGCTTTGATCATCCTTGGCACTTGTTGCGCCACTTTGGCAGCGGCCAGAGCCAGCCACTCCTCTTCCAGGCCATGGGCTACGGGTCTCAGGCTCCGAGTTCGCTTGGGGTGAGGGTAGGGAGGGTTCCGGAGGGTTGCAGGTTCCGGTGCTGTTGGGGATACCACCAGAACCTTCGTTGGGCCTAATAAGAGCCAAGAATGGATTGGGCAGGGAGGTCTTCGGAAGGGAGTGTTCTTCTCTGGTGCGCTTTTGAAAATCGACGGGTCCCACCGGTTGATTAGAACCGGTGCAGCCCCGCTTAAAGGGGTTGGTGTTGTGTGAAAATAGAGGGGTGCTTTGCCCACATTGTCCCTGTAAACCCTCCTTTTGGCACCATAAAGGTGAGTTTGCCCCCTCAGCTTGTTTCCGCAATGGGAAAATGAACATTGGTTAAACAGCTTGTTTCTTGTTTGAAGTTTGCTTGAGGTTTAGAATATGCTTGAACTCTGATTAACAGCAGTCTCGAGCTGGCTATAGATTCACTTGCTATAGTGCTCAGTACAAAATGACCGTTCCGGGTATGAACTTAATGAGTCCTACAAAGGAAACCAAAATCTGGATTGATTTTCTTTCTCGGGGTCATTCCGTTTCTCATCCCCTGCCTATCCAACCAGCAAGTTTAAACGTTTAAAAAAAAAAAGCTACCCCCTTTTTTTTTCGTTTGCTTAAATGTTGAGAACATGCTTGAAACTCTGATTATCATCTGTGTACAGCTGGCATTCATAGATTTAAACACACCAAAAAACCTGCATCCCGTTGGTGGATCCCAGAAACGTCCTTGGCCGTTGCCTTCGCATCCTGCCGCGCCCGCAGCAGCTGTGCACTCTCCGCCTCCGCGTCGGTGTCCTTCTCCTGTTGAGTATGGACGCCCAGAATGGTGGCGTTCCTTCCGGCGTTCTCTGTCAACCAACGTTGGGGGGTTGGAGCTCCGTGCTCTTGGAGGGCCCCCCCCTCCAAAAAAGAACAGTGGGTTTTGTTTGGACCCCCCCAAAAAAGCAAAGAACATGGTGGATCAATTGAATTTTTTGGGTACCCCTAAAAAAGGGTACCGGTACCCCTAAAAAAGCGACGCGCCCATCTCTGTGTGTATTGTGATGTATTCTTATAGACTTTTAGATGTCACATATTAATATGCATATAGTATGGTGTTTGATGTCCTCTTATAACAGTTCGGCAGCCCCCTGAGACTCTCCAAGAAACAAACCTACCTAACATCCACTTTCCGAACATCAAACGACCAAACTGAGCCCACTTCACGCAGCCCCCCCAAAAATGATGATCTTCACACCGCCCAAACGCCAGCTGGCCATCCCTCCGTCAGGTGGAAGTGGGAGCACAGCTGCAGCAGCTCCGGAGCAGCCAGGCGCCCCTTCCGCGCCTGAGAGTTCCGAGAAACCCAGAGCCACGCCAAAACCTCGGGTGGACAGGTTCCTTCCTGGTGCTCCAAGTAAATTCCAACCAACCTTGTGGTTTCAACCATGGTTCTTTTTTAGGTGGTGCGAGAAGCAGATTTCGCAACCATCCAGAGTATGAAGGCGTTGTTTTTCTTGCCGGTGCGATATGCAGGGAAGGAGACATGGAATGAACCCAGGCTTTGGTCCATTCCTGAAAGGAAACCCCCAGCTGGATGGTTTTTCTTGAAGTCATTCCATTTCTCATTCCCTACTAAGCGCCAGCAAGGTGAGTAAGGGACAGTCCCAAGAAGTTGGCAGGAAATTGGCAAAGCCTTTACATTGTATACATGGCTTTGGGTTCACCATTCTGGTACCGATCGGTTTGGTTTTGACCACCAGGTCTCGGGTCTTCCGTGGCTTGACCGACACCATTCGACAGTCCTTCTGATGAATATGAGGGTCCCAAGAGAATTATTGGGTCTGTTTGCCTTTGCGAACAAAAACATTTTTCGATAGTTTCAAGATCACCTTTCGGGGCTGTTTTAAGTGGTCCTTTTGGGCAGGTTTTTTTTTGAGGGGGCGTCCATGTGGACCGGGGTCCAAGGGTTCTCTAGTCGGACCCTCCTTGCTGATCTAAGGATCCTTCTTTTGTTGCGGGTTTTTGAAGAATGGGAAATCACCTTTGAGTCTGTTGCGCTTCTCCATTGGTCAAGTTCCTTAAGTCGCTCACTGGCCCAAATCTTGCCCAGCCACCCCCTCATTCGTTGGTTTACACCGGAAGCAAAGAACCGCACTCCGTGAACATGCTGCCATGATTGGAATGGGTCGGGGTACTATTGCACCAAACCACCTCATGATTTCGGGAAATGATCTTTGGAAAATCTAGCCCCTCAATCATCATTCCCCTGTAAATACCAACCAACGGCATGGTTGAAAAAACAACATGGTTTCCCTTCGTGATGCGAGAAGCGGAGTTCGCAACCATGCCAGGAAACGTCTTTCTGGACTCAGACTCGGACCCCCAAAGACGAGTTTGGTTTGTGCGAAACAAATGTCGCAACCATGGACACCACGTCTTCTTTTGGAGCCGGACACCCAAATATTCAGTTCGGTGTTCCTTTTGGTTTCCCTTCACAAACGAAGCGACCCACCGACCAGCCAGCCGCCCAGCCGACCGGCGCCTCCGCCGCGTGCTGCGCGTAGAGCGCCCGCTCCGCCGGGGTGTGGTGCAGCGTGACCAGCTCCTCGTGCACCGGGTGGCTGGTGAGGCGGCAGCCGGCGCCCTCGCGGAGGTTGGGAGCTGGGGGTAGGGTGGGGTGGAGGTAGATGGTATTTTCTTTGTTTGTTTGTTTGATTGCTTCTTGTTTTCTGCTTCCTGTTTCCTGTTTTTGTTTGCTTCCTAATTTTCCCTTGTTTGCTTGATTCTTGTTTTGAGGGGGGTGGTCTTGAGAAAAGGGCAAGGGGGACAAAGGAGCAAAAAGACCCCCCCCCAGTTTACCGACTTTCCACGGCTTTGTGGTTGAGTGGTGTTGGTTTACTTGCAATATCAAGGCACAAGATGTTGCTCCAGTTCGCAGGTCATGTATTCAAAGGGTCGAACTGGTGCAGGATTTTGTCCATCCACAGCAGGACTGTTGGTCTCCCCCGAAAAAGAAAATAAAAGGTCACTTGTTGTAGCTTCTCATTGAATCACTCAAAAACCCATGAACGACTCTGCAAGTCATTTGAGCCAAGGAACAGAACCTCCACCCTTCCGCTTTCTACCCCCAACCCCACCCACACAAACCCAACCCCAACCCCACCTAACCCCACGCCGCCCAAAGCGCCTGGGCCCGGGCCAAGTAGTCCAGCGCCTTCTGCGCCAGCGCCGCGGCGTCCAGCTGCCGCCGGAAGACCCCCAGCTCCACAGCGAAGACCTGCGCCAGCCGCGCCACAGAGCCGAAGCCCTGGAGTCAGCGTCAGCGGGAGAGGGGGGGGGGGTGTGGGGTCCCACCTGATTTGGGTACGGAGTCAAAATCCAAGTCGTACCCCAGTCGTGAACATCCCAATCCTCACTTAAATAGAAAAAGTGACATGGGCATTGGTCAAAAGAAAAACGCAGGTCTTAGTCCATGTGTCCATTTACCTGGGGTCTATTTTGGGCGCCTATGTTTGACCCACAGCCATTTCACCCGCAAAGCAATGTGGGTCTTTGCAGGTGGAACCAAGCCAGTCCCAAGAGCCAAAGGTCACCAAGCAATTCTGGCCTTCCAGGTTGCCAAAAATATGGCAACGGCGCCTGTAAAACCAGCGCTGTTGACAAGTCTTTCAAGGGTTTCTGAACGTCTCTTGAAAGCAAACCACGAGAAAAAAACGCAGCGTTTTGACAACCTGAATGAAAAGGTTGCCTTTGCAATGTCCTCAAAACCGCGCGAGCCCCCCAAAATGGCATCGGCCAGCGATTCGTCTAGGCGAAACGCCTTTTCTCACCAAAAAAGCTGATCCACACTTTCATTCTACTTCCACGACACTTGAGCGTGGGTTCTTACCATCTGTGGGCATGGATGCGTTGAGGAGCGGGTGCACTTGATCGTGGGTTCTTACCATCTGTGGGCATGGATGCGTTGAGGAGCGCGGGTGCACTTGATCGTGGGTTCTTACCATCTGTGGGCATGGATGCGTTGAGGAGCGGGTGCACTTGATCGTGGGTTCTTACCATCTGTGGGCATGGATGCATTGAGGAGCGGGTGCACTTGATCGTGGGTTCTTGCCATCTGTGGGCATGGATGCCTTGAGGAGCGGGTGCACTTGAGCGTGGGTTCTTGCCATCTGTGGGCGCTGACATTGAGGAGCGGGTCCAAGTGCAGGAGCGGGTGCACTTGAGCGTGGGTTCTTACCATCTGTGGGCATGGATGCATTGAGGAGTGGGAGCGCTTGAGCGTGGGCTCTTACCATCTGAGCGCTTACAGGTTGTCCGGGCCAACAACAGGCAAACCTGAACCCAGTCTAGCCGCTGCGCTTGTCGCGGCCGCCATGACTTGTGCACTTTGCAGCAGGGTCAAAGCTGCTAGCCTGAGTCAACATGTGGGCAACACCGACACCTATGACTGCACCTAGCCTATCAAAACAAAGAGACGTGGCAAAACCAAGTCTGAAAAGTGACAACAGTCCCGGCGGCTTGTGGGCGCCGCCAAAAACATGCGGCCAAAGGTAAGCGGAGAGCTGAATGGAAATGATATTATTTTCTGTTGGGGTCCTTTGGAAACTGATGGTGACAGGAACCAAACCAGTGGTCCATGTGCAACGAACTGACTGAAAATGACACCTATGGATGGTTCTACGGGTCCCTCTACAAACCGTCCCAAAAGGAGGTTTCCACATTTTTGAACTCGTGGGTTCGTCGTCAAGATCACCCCATTTTCGGGCTTAGTCATCCCCTTTACCTGCATAAAAAATATGGCGCCGTTACCGTCGACATGCACTGTGCAGTATTGTGGCGTGGGTTGCATGGTGCTCTGAGATTCGCGATGTTAATTGACCACCCCCCCCGCCCACGCAACCACCAAATTAGATGAAACCAGAACGGCAGAAGGGCCATCTGCCGCCACGCTTAGGTGGAACAACAATGTCAGTATGTCAGTGAAACCCAATTAAGCAAAGAACTCACCTGGCTTCTCACTGGCTTGCAAATCCCATATGGACCCAAGGCTGGTAAACTTGCTGAGGGAATGACCCCAAGAAAAACCATCCAACTGGTGCTCTCCTTTCAGGAATGAACCAAAGCCTGGCTTCATTCCATGTCTCATTCCCTGCCTATCGCAACAGCAAGTAAAGAAGAACGCCTTCATACTATGGATGGTTGCGAAATCCAGAAATCGCACCCCCAAGAAACCCTGGTTGAAACCATAACGTTGGTTGGAATTTTACGTTGAGCACCAGCCAGGAACCTGTCCACACAGGTTTTGACGTGGCTCCTCTGGGTCATCTTTCACCCCACGTCCCCCCCGCCTCCAGCGCCGGGGTCCCCGTCAAGCCCCACAGTGCCATGGGCGCCGTCGCCGGCGACGGCGGCCGCAGCTGCGCCAGAGCGCCGTCGCTGAGCTCGTGGAACTCGTCCACCACCAGGCGCGACAGCTGCAGCCGTCCTCGAGGCTCGAGGCGGGCGGTGGGGGTTTTGGGGGGGGCCCCTGGGTTTAGGGGTGGGAGCAGATCCATTCTAGGGGGGAAGCAACAGGAACTGCCATGAAGAAGGAAGCTGAGGGAAGCAAAAGCAAGCTGAGACTAAACCAGGACTTGAACTTCCCTTGCGCGGGTTTTTTGATCTCCCAACTTCACTGACGCGCCCAAGGCGCGTGGCGCGTGGCCAGCGTTGTGGCATGGACTCGAGTGGCGTCTCTATGCAAACGTCGAACATGGGCCTCTCTTGCAGTTTCGCCTGCCCACGTGGGAGGAGATTTATGAATCCAAAAACCCGGATCCATGCGAACATGTGCAAATTCTGAAACACATCCAAAAACCTGCACGAGGAATCCCCGGAGTATGTGACCGTGGTCAGCTCGTCTCACCTCCATAGAACAGGCCCCGAGCCCTGGGCGCCAGGCGAAGTCTGGTGGCGAAGCTGTCCTCCTGGCAATCCAAGCCATCCACGTCTTTTTCCCAAGCGAATCTTTGGGCATCCCTGCAGGTTCTGAAGGGTTCCTGGCAGCGGGGAGGTTCCCCGGGGCTGTTGGGGATACTTCTTGGGCATTGGGTCGAACTTCTTGGTGCCTCCCCGCCATGCCACTAAGACCTATCAAACTCCATCCCAATACATGGGCAGGTTCGTTTCTTGCCGTCCAGGAAACCACCGGACACCGGAAGCCACAGCAAACCACCGGAAGAACCGGAAGTCTTTACAAATCTGGGCTGCCCTCAGATCCCCTGCTAAAAGCTTAACTTTTAGTGAGATAAATGGAAACCACCACTAAACACTAAAAGGCGAAGAAGCTAAGGGGATGGCTGGGAGCCACCAAGAAATACCAGGTACTTCTCATCGCGCCCAATTTCGCATTTCGCTCCTCCAGCCGCCGCTTTGAGGACAGCAGCTCCACCGGAGCCACCAGCAGTTGGGGTTCACCTCACCGAATTTCGAGGGTCGGCGGGTGGGGGGCAGAGGGGAACCCAACTGTGGGAACAGCCGGCCTCCAACCTGCTGTGGTGTTGAATGGAGGGTCTATGCTTCAGTTTCGGGGTCTGGGGATCAAATCCACGCAAACCCAAAACAACAATGAAGAGGGAAACCAACAGAAGGACGGCCTTCAAACAGGGCAGGGGCAAATCAAAATTCCTCGCTTTAGCGAAGGCTTCTCTCGGCTGCAAACATGCGGCAAAAGATCGACCTCAACACCCGAATCATCACAATGGCTCATCCACGACTTGATGGCTATGGCTAGCGCCGCATCAAGTCCCCCAACGGAGCCTCCGTGCCACTATGGACCATCGTACGAGTGGAGAATGCTTGGGATTCTTAAAGCATAGGACCATAGGCCATAGAGTTGTCCGAACATTGGCAGGCCTTCACACATGCTGTTCGAATCAGATATTTACCGGTCATGGGGATATTGCACGCACCTTCCGCAAATGCCTGGCTCCCTTTATCCAAAAAAGAGGATTGCCTCACTGGGGCAGCCCCGATTCCCCATCCCCGATTCGTCGCCTGCCTGGCTCCACGGGCGCAACACGCAGATCCTCCAAGAAGCAAACCGGAAGCCTGGCCTTTGGAAACCCAAAGGTTTGAACCGAAGTTCTTCAGACTGGGCTGTTCAAATTGGAGGGCTTCAAAATCGAGGGCTGGCCAATCCTTATCCTTTGGGAAACGACCTTCTCTTGAAATGGCGCCTGTTGTGCCAGTCCAAGGGGCAACCAGGGAGTGGGGTGTGTGGGAAAATGGCTTTCAGGAAGTGGCGGTCTCGCCGTGTTTCAGCAGGTCTTAGAGGCGTAATCCAGTGTGTGAGCATTCATAACTCACAGATGGCTGTGGCTCCAAATTAAACAGGTTACGCGGGTTTTGGTCCATGTTTCCACTTCCCAGGGCAAGCCATGTTGGAATTCTGTTTTTTTGAGCCACAGCCAAATCAGATCCCCAAACCAAAATACGGGGAAGACCGGGATGCTGGATGAACCTCACCAGCGCCAAACAATAGGGGAAAAAAAACGGGCCAACGGCACTCGGCACCCGCCGGCGTCCACGAAGGCCTAACAGGCTGGCCTGAACGCCTGCAAAAAAACGATGAAAAACATGAAAGCCATCTATGCTTGACCCAGGCTGGTGTCTGATTGGGTTCTTTTTTAAGCTCTCCAAAAGGTTCCCAATTTTGAGCCGCAAAAGCACACCAAACTGGCGAGCTCCTCATCCTTGGGTGCTTTTCACTGGGCCAAAGCGTGTTCGATGAACGCGGCCAAGCGTGGTTTTCCTTCAAAACCCCAAAAGGGGCACCCTCAATCAAACGGGAACCCAGGGTTAAGAAAACCATGATTACTTACTTCTAGGGTTAACCCGTTTACAAGGACATCTGTTGGGTCCCGAAACACACACCCAAGAAGTCATCCACCAGCTTCCGAAGACTTCTTTTTCCGCAAGTTGGTGAAGGGAAACCAAATCCAACTGCTTTCTGGTTTGCTCCTGAATAGATTCCAGGTGAGGGGCATCGCCACGGAAAATGGACCAGCAAGACTCTTGAAGCCCCGAACGTCCACGTCCATTGTTGGAAAGAGGGTGAAACATGATACCCGCGAACCCTGCAAACCACCAGTTCCAAGCCACCAATTTGGGGGGTTTGAACAACGAAACCGATTTAGAAGCTTGCGGGACGCGTGCAGAACTGAAAAGAAAGTCTTAACAAAGCGCGGCAACAAAAAAAGACGGAGTCCAAAGCATGGGCTTTGCATGTGCGGGTGCTTTCTGGGCGGCACCCCGCGGGTTGGCTGAAAGGAAAACCAGCATCAAAAGCCACACTGTTGCCATGAGTGTGACACCCTCCAAATTACCCCCTCCACATGGAACCTGACTGAGTGGAAGACCATTTCCTTAAGAGGCCCTCTGGTTCCCTTGCTTTCTGCTCCCCTGCTAAAAGTTTCACTTTCAGTGCTTTAGTGGAAAACTCATTAGTTGGCAAAAAGTTAAAAAGTGCTAACATCCCTTGGCAAAATGCCCCAAAGATAAGGAGGGGTCGCTTTTGACCCCAGGTCGACCAACAAATCTCCCAAACTCCTCGTCCAAGACCTGCATGCCGCGGTCCAGGAACTTCCAGGCCTGGCGGACCGACCCGAGGGTGGTTTTGGCGGTTTTTAGGCGACGTGTTTTCTCGGAAAAATCCGCTGGGTGAAATTGGGCTTTTGGGTTTTTGGGCTTTTGGGTTTTGAGTTGTTGGCTTTCATAACAGCAATCCCCATTGGTGGTGGTGTTTTCGAGGTGGTTTGGCTTTACTCTTTAGGGAGGGTGCTTTGGGGGTTTAGGGATTGGTTTCTGGTGTTCTGGTTGGAGGGTGTCAACTGAGGAAGGGGGGTGGCGTTCTTAGCACCCTCACAGTGTAGAAAAGCAAAGGCAACAAAAGCTCATGTCAACGGACTGTCGGGCCAAATGGATTGAAAATAAAAGGTTCACCTTCTGACATGGACTTACAATGGACCAACAAGAACGTTGACTTTGAACCACTGAGAAAAGAAAAACCACCCGATTTTGCTGATTGGGCCCGAATATGAAAGGTTGACCTTTGGCACATGTTCGTGAACAACTGACCACACGATTTTGAGGAAAGTTGCCATTTGCGAGACCAAGCCATTTACGTCAGCCAAGCTGCGGGGCCGACATTTGGGCCCCTTTGCTCTCAGGCAGAAACCTGGCCTGAGTAAGATGCTCAAGTTTGCACATTGGGCCTGTCGCAGAACGGGGAACGAAAGAAACACCCAATTCAGCAAGTAACTGCCCTCAACCAGAACCCACGGCAGAAGGGGAAATGCCCACTGCGGCGACAAATGCTCCGAGGCAGGCGCCCGCTTTGTTTTGCAGCAGCGCAAAGGTGAAACCCAATCAAATGCCGGTCAATGTTGAGCCCGATCAGGGCCCGGAGCTGACTAGGGGACTCGGACATGTGATGAGCTTCCAAACAAAAATTGCCTTTCAGCAGGAAAGGGGGATGCGCCACAAAAACAGGCTCTCGACAATGGTTTGGTCGCTGCCGGTGCAAATGTCTTCGACAAGCCCCAGCGCAAACCCGGGGCCGAGCAGTACAAAAAGCAGCCCGAAGGTAACCTCTATCATGATACCTACGGATCCGAGTTGTATGTGAAAGGGCAGCTCCCTTAAGCCATGGAGCGGCAGGGCAGGGTTCAAAACTCTGGGCTGGCCGAGCCATGACTTCACAGAGCGCCACCTGCTCTCCTCAAGTGGCCCGAAGGAGACTACAGACATCGGCGCGTCACGCATTTCCGGGGAAACTGAGTCAAATGCGACTGGCTGAACTCGACTAGCGCCGATGGCCGGCGCCGTCAGACTGTGTGTCAGGCCGGCGCCAAGGCTGCTGCGGCAGCGACGCTCTACAGCAAGGAATTGTAAAGGGTTGGAATTGTCGAAGGTCTGGTCCCTCCAAATCACCTGGCATGTCTGTGGTGCACCTCTGGCTGCCTCCCTTCCCTTGTTTCGGGCTCAGGCTTTTTGGGATTCCATCCCGGCTGCCCCTGCGCAACAAGCAGGTGGTAAGGGCATGGTGACATCCGTCCGACTTCGCTGTCGTTTGTCTTTCCCTGCCTCCTGCGGTATCGGGGCGTCTGGCAATAGCTCCCGAAGCACCACCAAATCTTCTAGCACCTTCCAAGGACTGCCGCATGCCGCATGTTTGCCCTGAGAAAACTGCGATACACAACAGCCCAAAGATCTGGCATACAAACAATTGTTTGCCAATGAAACTTTAGAAGGACTTTCCTGTCTCTCTGTCTCTCCGTCTCTCTGTCTCTCTCTGTCTCTCTGTCTCTCTCTCTCTCTCTCTCTCTCTCCCTCTCTCTCTCTCTCTTCTCTCTCTCTCTCTCTCTCTCTCTCTGTCTCTCTCTCTCTCTCTCTCTCTCTCTCTCGCTGTCTCTCTGTCTCTGTGTCTCTCTGTCTCTCTCTGTCTCTCTCTGTCTCTCTCTGTCTCTCTCTGTCTCTCTCTGTCTCTCTCTGTCTCTCTCTGTCTCTCTCTGTCTCTCTGTCTCTGTGTCTCTCTGTCTCTCTCTGTCTCTCTCTGTCTCTCTCTGTCGCTCTCTGTCTCTCTCTGTCTCTCTGTTTCTCTGTCTCCGTGTCTCTCCGTCTCTCTGTCTCTCTCTCTCTCTCTCTCTCTCCCTCTCTCTCTCCCTCTCTCTGTCTCTCTCTCTCTCTCTCTCTCTCTCTGTCTCTCTGTCTCTGTGTCTCTCTGTCTCTGTCTCTCTGTCTCTCTGTCTCTCTCAGATCCTCCCTTTTCAAGGGAAATTGAAGTGGACATGGCTTGGGAACTCCCCGAAAATGCCTGTTGCCGATTGACTCCCTTGCCTTGGAAGCAACCAACGGGGGTCGAGGGGGTCCCCTAACAGAACGACACACTGCGCAGGCGCTCCTTCAACCACTTGCAAGGTTTGGCCCGGATTGTCATTGTCGAGAAGAGATAGCTAGGTCCCCCGAGTTTACCCACATTTGGGCGTGGCTTCTTTGAGGGTACCCCGCTTTTGGTGGTTTCAAAGGAAAACCTGAAGGAAAACAACAATTTGACAATGTTGAGTCCCCGTAGCCCCCCAAAAACAAAGTAGTAGGTAGGGGTTTAAAGATAAACCCTGACGTGCGCAGCGATAGCAAACCTAATGCCACTTCTTGCTGACACATGTGGGAAAGCACCGGAAAAACCTGGATTTTAGCACCCTCTTTTGTCAGTTGGCAGCGCTCGCGCAGGGCGCACACACACATACCTAAGAGGCGGTCAAGCTCTGCCGCCCGGCGCGTGCGCGAGGTTTGCATGCTGTAAGGGTTGCTTAGGCATTGTCCAAGATGCTTTGCACAAGGAACAGTTCGCTGGCGTGCGCAAGCGCAGGCGTCGGCTCGCCGCAATGGAAAAACAGATTTCAAGCAAGTCATGGGCTCCCTAAGAAAAATCGGGTAGGGTTGATTTTTTTGTAGGGCGCGGCACATTCAGGCTTATTTGTTGGGATTCACTACTTTCTAACGCTGAGCGGACCTGGTGGTCCAATACCAATCATGCCGTCCGCCTACAGTCTTGCGAGTCTTACCCATGCGCCGTAGTCTAGGACTGTAGCCCCTGGTCGTTTCTCATCACCTGGATGATAGCGCCATTGTCTTGCATCGCGTGTCCAGATTGCGGCTTGTCACGGTTGAGAGGCGCTCTTGCGTGCCAAACTTTCAGCGCCTATGTCGCCCACACAAACGGAGCAAACAAAGACACTTAACACATGGTCCTTTCAAATCCACAGACGGAAGTCAATCAAACCCTTTCCCTTTACAAAGTGTCCCTTCAACCTGTGCCAAACTTCAAGCGCCTATATGCGCCTATGTTGCCCACACAAAACGGAGCAAACAAAAGACACCTAAGACTTTGTCCTTTCAATTCCACGCACGGCAGTCAATCAAATCCTGGGAGCAAACAAAAACACTTAAGAGCTTGTCCCTTCAATTCCACAGACGGAAGCCAATAAGTTCCTGTCCCCTTTACAAAGTGTCCCTTCAACCTGTGCCAACCTTCGAGCACCTACGTTGCCCACACAACCACAAGCAAACAAAGACACTTAAGATTGGTTTCTTGCAATCCACGGCAGGACCCTAGCTTACTCGGCTAGAATAAGCAAAACTAAAACGATACGTGCCCAAAGGCCCACAAGATGTTCAGCCAGACATACCCATTTGAGCCTTTGGGCCAGTCGGGTTACTTTGCCACCAATCAGAGTATCGGCCCTCATGGCCCTCCATGGAAGTCATCGGCTCCGGGTTTTGAAGGCTTTGAAAGGTTTTCGGCCTCCAAAATGCGTAGGGTGGCACTTCCTCCAAAATGCGTAGGTGTTGAGAAAGGCTTTTGGAAGGTTTGCCTTCTTTTCAGGGCAGATCTTTGTATAAATCCGCTCAAGCACTTTCCTCCCGAAGCCTCCGTGGCCAGCATCGCCAGCAGGGCAAACCCCGCCGAGGAATTGAAGGCTGGGCTCACTGAAAAGCCGTGCCTCAAAGGACGGGGTTGCTTGAAGTGGCTTGGAGAGAAAACGAACAGGGAGATCCAAGGAAAACAAAAGGGAGCCAAGAGGAAAGTATACAGGAAATCCGTGTTTTTGGTGGGCGCTTTGCAAATGTCCTTAGAACTTCACGCAGTTGGTTTGTATGAGGAAAAGAGAAGGGAGCAAAAGAAAACAAAGAGGAAACCAACAGGGAACAAAAGAAACCAAAAGCAAACTTCTGTCAGTTGGAAAAATTATCAGGCTTTTAACACGGCTAGAACGCACCAAAAATACAAAGTGTCTCATGACGTTTTGGGTTCCCAGGGATGCAAAAACGCATCAAGCGAAGGCCAAGAGCTGGACGAGCTTCATGACAGCTCTGGCAGTGATAAGTGCCAAAACGGCCATAAAGCGGCCGTAGCCGTCGAAGATCTTGATGTTTTCGTGGAGCTCGTGCCAGCTGCTCTGGCCCGACACCTTCATGGCGATCCGCGCCCCGCCGAGCCTCTTCAAGGTGCGGAACAGCGCGAAGCGCGTCCAACCCAGGCGCGTGCAAACGTTCATCACGAGCGTCACCAGCACGGAAAGGATCCTCGGGCATGGCCAACATTGGCCCAAGCAAACTTGGTTGCTGGAAGGACTCCCCGGCAAAAAGTTTAACTTTTGGGGTTGAGTGGAAAAACACCTTTAGTTCCCAAAAAGTTAAAGTCTAAGATCCAACCCAATAGCAGTCAAGCAAAGCAAACCAAGACTCAAGAGATCTGGTCGTGGAAGCTGAAAGGGTCAACCCGCTCATTCATCAAAACATGGATTTCAACCCTTGAGCTAGCCGTGGGTAGGGGGTGGGGTGGAGAGGGGCTGCCTCGCCCTGCCCATGGAAACTTTGCAATCTGACGCCCCCTTGTCCTTGCCCCGTCACTACAAATTGGATGAAGGCTGAACTGTTGAAGGCTGAGTCCGGCTTTGGGGGAAACACAAATGACAAAATTCCCCGGGAAACTGAGTTTAAAAGGGCTGGCCTCCAAAATTCCCATACAACCTGAAGTAGATAAGAGGGGTGGCCTCCAAAAAAATGGACACCCCCCATGCCCTGCT